AAAAAATAAAAAATATTAATGTTACTATTTACTATATTGTCAGAATTAGGATTATGATATCTTTATCACTTAAAAAAAAATTAAGTATTAATGGAACTTTTTAAAATTAAAAAAGTATTTTGAAACAGGGATATTTTTAAAATAAAGTATTAACTATTTTTCTACTAAATGTGAAGGTTTTTAGGAGTATTTTTAAGATATAATATAATATTTTAGAGTTTTTTTTTTTTTTTTTAAATATTAATTTAACCTATAATTTAATAATCAATTATTATGGAGAAAACCTGGGGGTGGTTTTACGAAAATGCCCACGAAGATAACGAATTGGGGGGCGGATGGGTCGGCGAGGGAGTCAAACAAACTCGAGGTGCGGCTGTGTATCCTCCAAATTCACGTTCTTGTAATTTAATCGATTCTGCCGCGAAACGCAGCGCCACCCTCTGTTCATTTTTTGGTTGGACGACTGTTAATTTTCTCGCCTGATCCACGCCCACCGGACAGATTATCCCATCTCAATCCAGCGAAAACCCTAGTCGATTTCATTTCAGGTATCTCCAACTTCATTCCACTCTCTGATTCCTTCCCAGTTTTCCCCTTACCTTTTTGTTTGTCTCCAAGTTGGGGGTGGGGGTTGATTTCTGTTAGATTTCCCACCCCGATGCTGCCGCCAGGTTTCTTTATTGTCTTCACTTTCGTTCTCCCATTTTATGTCCTCCAATTATTGTTTATGGGCGATTCTGATCTGAACATGCGGGGGCTGTGTTCTGGTTTAACACGCCGGATTAGCGATTGATCATGGATTCAAATCTGAAGAACCAACGATAGAAATCTGTGAGAATTTTATTTCGTCGAGGGTTTGCTGTTTTTTCAATTACGACAAAATTGCCGTACTTGCTTTTAATTGCATTATTGGTTTCATCATTATTGTTATTATTATTATCATCTTGGGATGGATGACTATATGATACTTTTCTATCGCGATGATTTCTTGTTAAAATTTTGAATCAGCTCAGGAGAATTCTGCTGCTCTTGTTCTATTTTAACTTTTAACAGTTTTTAGATTATCTTAGAATCGTTTACTATTTTGTTTCGTTTTTAGTTCCTGAAATTTTATTTCTTTCTTTCTTTTTGTACTCGGTCAATTACTCTTAAAAGGAATCATGTATTGATTCAATTATTGCGCTGCTGTCCTGTATGAAATATTAAATGGAAAAACAAATGTTGTATTAAATATGAAGGATTAACAGCTGAGGTTCTTGCCAACTACCACAGTGAAAGGTGACTTAAATAACAAAGAATTACTAGCAATTGAATCTGGTTCTGACCATGCATTGCTTGTTCCTACAGTTCTTAGACAGCCTGCTTTGTGCATCTCATTGAAAGTATAGTTTCTTATTTTATATGTATCTAAGATTTATATTCTGTATATTTTCTGTATCTATCACTTTCTTGAACTAAAAATTTCTCGCATTGCATGCTTTCTATCATAGAAATATATATTCTCGGAGTTTTAAAATCTATGACTGCTTGGGTACTTGGGAAAATAATCATTTCCGGTGTTCATCAGTTTTTTGCCATAATTATAGTCTTTTCCTCTCTGTTTATGTCACCTTGTCAGGCATTGTATCTGAGGTTGAAGAAAGAATAATAGCAGTTGAATTTTTTTGTCGTTAGCTTTTTGGAATGGCAGATAAATCGTGTATCAAGAGGCTTCAGAAGGAATATAGAGCACTTTGTAAAGTATGTGCTTCTGTTTTTTTTTTTGAAATTCTAGTGTTGCAATGCATGGACTAACCGGATATTGGCCAATCTTGACATAATAATGTTTGACTGTGTGTTTATCTCATGGCTGATTTCACAAGTAAAAGTTTATTTTATTATTATTTTTCTTTAATGAGAAACTAAAGAATCCAACGCATGCTTTGCATTTTTCTTGTTGAAATGCTAACACATTTTTGTATTTCCCCCCAATTGGTGCTGATTCTGCTATTTGTAAACTTTCAGGAGCCTGTTTCCCACATTGTTGCTCGTCCTTCTCCCAGCGACATTCTTGAGTGGCGTAAGTTTTTTCCTTTCGATATTTTTTTGGTGTTAGTTGTGGAGCTTCTCATTCTTGTGTGCATGTTGGAATTAGGATACAACTATGGATTTTTGAAGTTGGCTTCAGTCTTTTTTATTATATTACTTTATTTATTTATAAGCGAATTCAGTCTAGTTTTTAATTGATGCAGACTGTAAAAGGACAAGTATTATCATTTTGTGTGTGGAAAGATATAGACATAACTGCTAGATCATTGTGATGTCGAATAATTGGTTAGATTGTTAGAATTCTTGGTTTAATAGAAAAATCGAGGTCTGCAATCTATTCATCACTGAGTACTGCATGTAACGTTAGTAATATGTTGGGACTGGGAGTTTGAGAAGCATTGCTTGCCTGTTCTATGCCATGGTTAAATTCTTATTTTTTTAGAAATGTATTTCATCTCCTTTTTTTTTCACTCAAATTCAAACTTCTGTTTTGATTTTCTCTCTTTCTTTTCATGAAATATAAGCTTTCTGCTTATCATTTAGTTACCATAGTTTGCATATTAAATGTTGTTCTGTTTCAGATTATGTTCTGGAGGGAAGTGAGGGAACTCCTTTTGCAGGTGAGTTTTTTTTACTTTGCCCCTTGTAGTACACAAGAGACACTTCTCTTCTCAATTCAATTCTTGGTTTCCTTTCGTGGATTTTTAGATGAAGATCTCTTTAATTTTGCTCTTTGATTTCCACTGGGGTATCAACTCTTTTTTCCTTCGTCGTATAATTTTTTTTTTTAATGGAAGTCATTGAAAATCTTTGTTAGGAGGGTTCTACCATGGAAAAATTAAATTTCCTCCAGAATATCCATACAAGCCTCCGGGAATCAGGTATAAGCATCTTGGATGTGTTTAGTAATCTGGAAAATATTTGAGAAGAGATTTTTATAAAACATTTCTCAGCTTTCTTATCTACTTGTCTTTACTGTGATTTTAATACTACTACGATTCTTTCTAGCATGATCACCCCAAATGGTCGGTTCATGACACAGAAGAAAATTTGCTTATCCATGAGTGACTGTAAGTTTTGTGGATTTTAAAGATGATCATGCCTTTTGTCTGTAGAAATGATTCTAATTGACTTGATCTGTCTGCAGTTCACCCAGAAAGTTGGAATCCTATGTGGTCCGTGTCTAGGTGAGACATAATCCTTTTCATTTTTCAACATGAGGTGTTACAGTTACTTTGTAGTACCGATGTTTTCTTCTTCCGCTAAATTTTTCCTTGAGTTAATAAATGGTTGCTTTGTGTGTGACTAACTTTTCTCACGTGCTTTTCATCCTTTGCTTTCCAACAATTGCAGCATACTAACCGGGCTTCTTTCATTCATGGTGAGTACGTTTTAGCTCATGGCTCGTTTTGCTTTAATCGAAGATGGCTGCCTTTGTATCTTTATCTGTTATTATTACCTATTAATTTTTAGTAATGATCTACTTTCTTATGTAGATGGACAACAGTCCTACTACTGGAAGCGTGAATACTACTGCTGCTGAGAAGGAACGCTTGGCAAAGGCGTCTCTTGCATTCAATTGTAAAAAGTAAGCTCATGTGCAGGACTTTGTGTCCTTGAACGTAGTTTCTCTTCCGCTGAGGGTTCCATCTGTCATCCACATTCCTTTATTATGTAGGCTTGGTGAACTTAATTCCCTAGCCCATCTTAATTACTGGAAATGTGGATGGCTCATCTCTATCTTTAAAAAATTATGATCACACATTGCTTGTGGCAGTAGAGTTAATTTGAATTGTTCTTATGAAAGGATTCTAGAATCGTACAACAATGATTAAACCACTTTTGGCCGTAAAACTTGGGCGTCCTTGAGTGTGTAAATTGCAAGTTCTTTTTCTTGAATTTAGAGTTTACACTTACTTTCTTGCCATGTCATTTGCGAAACCACTTCTATTCATTTTCTTTTTTAATTGTAATATTTTCAATGCTATACTTTTATTTAACAGCCCAACATTTAGAAAACTGTTTCCTGAGTACGTGGAGAAATACAACGAGCAGCACCAATCAGAGCAGCTTGCTGCAGAACAGGCTTCATCAAAGCCATCAGAGGAAGGCAAAACTAGGCACATAATGGAGAAGATCAAGTCCAGGGAAGAGGAGAACATTAACAAAGTAGCAGCAGATAGAGAGGACATGAAAAGAAATCGAAAGCAGTCGTTCCCTACATGGATGATGTTGTTACTCTTCTCGATCTTCGGCGTCTTAATGGCATTGCCTCTCCTTCAACCATGAAACCATAAAATGGAAGGTTGCATGCATAGGTAATGGTAGACAGTCTAGCTTGTGCAAGTCAAGGATGATGCTCTCATATTTTTGCATGTACTTTACAACATAGTGTCTGTATAGATGGTCTGGCGTCTTTGTGTGGCTGCTTTCATTTTGCCCAGAGTCTGTTATGTATGGAAGAACAGTTGCTTGAAAACTAAACCTCTTTGTTTGTCTATATCATGTTTTTAAATACTATTAGCTGAGGCAGAACACTGGTCAGGTCTCCACTGCAGAAATTGTTATTATTTTTATTTATTGTCATTTATTTATATACATATTTAAAATTTGACCTTTTTCACTTTTTAGATTGAAGAGAGCTCCTCGGAGTGCCCAGAGTTTCGCCGTGTTTTGCGCTCCTCTGCTTTTTCAATCCACATGGTCCATAATCCATTTTTCTATGTTACTTTTCTCTCAAGCTTTTCGGTTCGAGAACATGTTTGAGAGTAGTGATGTTGAAATGGTTAAATTTTAAGTCTTTTATTATTTTCAATTAGTTTAATATTTGATATAGCTTATGGTTGAAGGCATTAAAACGCTCCATCTCTCAATTATAGTGCTACGAAAACAGAGATTTTGTGTAAATCATTACACTTTATATCAACTTGTGTTAAAATAGTGAACAATTCATCTGCTATGAAGGAAATTGCAGTAATTAAGAGAAGAATGTAAAAAGGGTTACCCTTGTTTATGTGAATTAATATCAAATTATGTGTGTTAATACCCAGCGAAGCGACAGGCTCTGTTTACTGTAATGAAAACATGAGAGAGACGTTGAGTGCTAACAAATTTATTGCTTTCCCATTTCCTTGAACATCAGTCCTTGATTTCTTAGAAGCTGTCTATTGAATGCCACTTTTGGAAACATAACAAGGCGCTATTGGATCCCAAATGGGGTTCTTCTTCAATGGCGGTAGTTGGAGTTTCCTTCCCCCTTTTCATTTAGATGCATAACAGCTTCCTGTTCTTCTATTTACCTCTTTTGAAGCTACGATTTTTGGATGTGTTTTGTTCATTGAAGAAATCTGTTTCTTCTGATTGTGAGATGAACGATCCTGTTTTTGATGATTTTGATCCTCGCCTCAACTTTTCCAAGGTGATTCAGTAATGTTCTTTTGTTCAATTCTTCATCTCTTAGATTCATCTGATATCTTTATGTAAATGTGGTTGTGAATTTTCCAGTTCTTGGAAGAAGCAAAACATCGTGCCACAGAACAAGAAACAGGAGTCAAATGGTTGCCACCACAGAAAAAAAGCAAGAAATCTTGGAAAAACACACCCTTCTCCTGGTTAAAAAGTGATAAAAGGACCAAGCCTCTGCCCAAACCAGGTACAAACCCTCACATACCCAATACAAGGCGTGTTCATGTTTCTGGTCCAATTTACACCAGAACTACAGCCATAGACGGCAGATCTCGAGGCGGCCGTTCGACGTCTGGACCGATTGCTAGTCTCTTCAGTCCCAGTTTGAGTTCAGAGATGGAGATCCCTTATATGTGTCTTCACCAACTTACTTGCCCCAATACAAACCACAATTATGGTCCAATATATCTTGTTACATAGACATACATTTCTCAGTTCATCTTGTCTGGAGCCAGGGGCAGCCCATCTTTGAAATCTTTTGTATGCGTAATGGTTTTGATAAGCTGTTTAATGTTATGGTTATTGCCACAAACAAGTCAAGCCCATTCCATTGCTTACTAAACAGATCAAAATGGATTCAAAGGATTGAAAATGTCTGTAAATAACCATGTTCTAACAAAATGAAAGCGGGTGGTTGAAGAACATTCATTTCAGAGATGCTCTCAACAACAACGCTTTCCCTCTCATTACTAGAATGCAAAGAAATTTGTACAAGTTTTGAAAACTCAACTTGTTTGTAGCATATCTATATCAGGCCAATTGTTCCATTTCAACATTACCTGAATTTGGATCACAAGGATTCACTCTTCTTTGCCTACTCAAAAGCCTTTTCAATGACCTTAATCTGGTGACAACAGGTAGCTTTCCATCTTCATTAGGTGCTAATGGCGGAAATTGAAGATCATTTTGAACATCAATTACCAATTCTGCAGCTTGGTTACTCGATGATGCTGATGAAGAAGTCGCCGGAAAAGGGTTTTGAGAAGAACCCTCTTCCACTTCCAGGCAAGCTCCGGCAGAGGTGACCTGCTCTTGATTTCCCCAAATCAGTACATTTGTTGGGAAAGTTGGAGATTCTGAGGACAACCCAGTTGCAGAATCCTCATCCTGTAACTCGCCGGAGTCTGCGGCGGCGGTGACGGGGTTCCGACAAAGAGGGCAAGTGGAATGAGATTGAAACCACATATCGATGCAATCACTATGGAAGCCATGGAAGCAATCATGAAGCAGCTTGGCTTTCTCACCTTCAACAAGGTCAGAGAGGCAAACGGCACATTCGAGGCCATCTTTGAAGTCATCAGGGTGGAATATCAGTACAGGAAGTGATCGAAGGATTTTGGGGTCCAACCCTCTTCCGGAATTGGGATCTTGTACGGCGGAGAATTCAAATCGGCGACGGCGACGGCGACGAGTTTCCACCGGAAGAGGGGTAGGATCCTCAATGCGAGACCATAACCATCTGGCGTAGAGTTGGAGAAGAAGAACAAATACAAGCACCAACAAGAACACTAAAATGGCCGTCACAATCACCATTCCAGGTAGTTCGATAGACACCGAGTCGCCGGAGTGTTGACTCAGCTTGTAATCGTCTTCCATGGCTGCCGACGAGATTGCAGAGACTGGAATTTGGGGGCAAGGAAGAAGAAGAAGAGGAAAGCGAATCTGCGTTTAAAATTTGGAATTGATTGCATAACGAAGCGAGTGGATTGACTCGAGTAACAAAACAACAACTTCAAAACAAACCTTTTTTTTTGGTGAAGTAATACTCATGACTTGTGAGGCCTAAAGTTTGTGGTGCAGCAATCATGCGGCGCTTTTTTTTCACACGTAAAAAGTGGGGTTTCTTAAAACTATTTTTTTAGTCAAGAGGATAAAAAGCACTTCATCAATCTGGTGATTGGTGTCAGAATCAGGATAACAATTGTGCCGTATTTGTTTTAACTCGAGAAAATTGAATTTTATGGACAATTTGACGTATGATTGAGTCTTGAATCACATTTGATTAAAAATATTTTAGGTAGATGTAGACGTGATTTTGATGAACGGTCATACATTTTGACATGACATGAATAGTAAGAATTTAATGACACATGAAAGCAAGTAAAATGAGTTTGGAATATGCATATGAACATGGACAACATGTCTTGAACAAATATGATTGTGATACTTAGCTTCCTACACTCCAAATCTTAATCGAGGCTAGAAAATAGAAAATTTTGTACCTTTGTCAAAGAATTTTTTAATATAAGAGTATAGACATTGAAAGTCTGATTTAAAGTCAAGGCAACCGTAGTATGCTTAGAGAAGGCCTAAGATGACGTCTCTTTTTTGGTTAGGCTACATGACAAACTGTTACCTCTTCTAAAACACCATAGATTATAAATCACTCACCATAATTTGAATGGTTGGCTCGTTTAAAATCATTTAGAATTTGAATATAGATCGTGTTTAGAGTGAGAGAGATGAGAGAGATAATTTAGGGATTTATTTAATTCATTAATCAAAGGTTAATACAAATGGTGAGTTTGTTAGAGCATAAGTGGAGAGAGAGAGGGAGGAGAGAGAGAAAATGATTAATTTTGGTTTGAACTTTGGGCCACAAAAATTAAGGATTTCAAATTTGAATCTATAATATTATAATTTTTTACATATCATTAAAAAGCTTATACATTTAAATTAATCAAATTATAATATATGATTTTAATTGCGTGAATTATAATCTTGGACAGATATTTTGTCACACCAAAGTTTGAAAGATGCGGATCACCCACTACTTTTGTCCTATTTTCCAATCTACTTTCACACTTAATTTATCTCTCTCTCTATTGCTAAATGACCATTCTAACCCTCAAACATTATCACTCTTTTAGTTTATTTTAAATGAGATTTTTTATATTTTTATATTTTTATTTTTTATATTTTATCTTGTTAATAATAAAAGAAATAAAATAGCAATGAACAAACCAAAATAAAATAGGAAAGAATCCCCTCGTAACATACCCACGACACATTTGAAGAAATATCTGTTTAATCTGTGGGACTGAGAATCTTAAACAAAAAAAGTGTTATATTTCATGTCTATGTTCTACTCGTCATATATATCAAAATTAAGGTACAAATATTTAAAAAATGAAAATTATTAAAAAGTTTATTGGAAAAATAGTAAAAGATAGAGAAAAATCACCACGTGGATGCTATTAAAATAGGCGACGGGAATGGAAATAGAGAAGACTTCTCTATCTCCTGTTCGTGTCTTGTGAACATCTCTAAAAAGCTATCGAATGCTACTCAATCATTGAATCGAAAATTCTCTCGATTCTCGAGATTGAGAATCCAAACACTATGAATCCACACCACTTGTAAAATCATATTGTTTTATCCATTTTTCAAGTAATACTAATTAGATATTTGTGTAAATTTTATTTTCAAATGGCATATTGATGCAGTAATCCATGAAAAGTTCATTGGGCTCCTATTGGTCCAAAACATGGGTGGCACTTGTGGGCTTCAGTTCCGAAGAATGGGCTGCTTTAGTGGGCTTAATGGGCTTCAGTCTAGCAGAATGGGCTTCAATTGAACCGGGGGGGGGGGG